AGTCCCTTGGTAGTTCCATCCATAATGGCGAGGATGACAACGGAGGAAATGCAGAAATACTTCACTGATGGCTGGAACCCACTGTTCGTCGGCTACACGGCGGCGGTCTACTTCCACACTAGCGAGGCGAAGTTAAATTCGTGGACGACGCAAGCAAAAAAGATGAGAGGCTCGCAGCCCCCCGGATATGAGGTGCGAAAGGTCTTGAGAGCTCTTGAGCAGGAGGGACTTGAGAACATGCTACCAATATGGGATGATGGCAGGATGATCATGATGGAGGGGCACGTTTCATTGGTGGACGACATGAAATTCGCAACAAGAAAGTATAGGGCGCCCTATGGCTTAGAACAGGTGGAAATGAGACAGGAGGGAAAAGAACTGGATGCTGCAGGTCAACTGCACATGGCCCTGACGGAGTACAAGAGATTGGATCCGGCGACACCATCACCACTGTCAGTGGATACACCTGGAGACAAGAGGAGTGGACCCGTGGAGGACCGGTTCAAAAGAATTCTCGAGAGAAGAAGAAATGAGTCAGAAGAAGAGAGTATGGATGAAACTCTCAGTGAAGCCGGTGAGGACATGGAAGTGGGGAATACGCCTGAACCAAGACCATCAGGGGAGGAGCTCACCACTCAAGAGCTGTTGAAAGACTTGAGCGAGGAGAATTGGGCAGATACTGCCACTCCACCTCTGACCCCGTCCCCCCGGAAGAATCTGGAATTGCCATTGGCAAGCGAGACCTCCAATATGGGGATGATACTCTTGAGCTCGGAGGAAAAGGAAAAGAATACTTTCGAAGGAAATAGGGACATGTTCCTGGGGTCTCTGAAGGACGATGCTTGGCAGGAGTTCTTGAAGGAATTCAATCAAGAAGTGGGCAGCGAGACGATGCTGGACAAATTCAAGGAGGAACTGTGGGAGACAGTTGTGAAGTTTGGAGAACCGCTTCTGATAGGAACGGGCCTGGATGAGAAGGCGAGAAAAGAGCTGCTGAACAAGCTGATAGAGCTGAGGAATTCACGATCGAAGACAAGAGAAGAAAAATGTGAAGACAGCTCTACTCTGAAACAAAAAACTGTAGATAAGATAGTTGATGATATAAAAGGGGATAAGGTTGGGACTAGTAATATGATTAAAAGTACTAATATCCTTAAGGCTCGAGCAGGGGGGAGGCAAGAGTTGGAAGGGTTGGAGGTAGACAGAGAGGTCAAATCAGTGATGATAACCACAACACCCTCAAGCAGAGATGTGAAGACTCGCAAGAGAAAGAGAGAAGTAGAGGGATTGGGTAGTCCTTCAGTGGATGCTGTCTCGGAAGGAAACTTGAGAGAGACGGCTCCCATGGTTTTGGCTCGATGCAAGACGGCGGCATACAAGAGCAACACGGAGCTCAGAAGACCACTCGAATTAGAGAGGGAAATAGAGGCTTCCACCAGTTCGACATCGGAGGAAGACTTCAAGCCCCAGAAGATAAACGTGAAGAGAGGTTCAACGAACGGACAGACATGGGAAGTGGATGTCGGCAAAGAATGGGTCTCGAAGGCACACCAGGCCACGGGGAAGCAAGTGACGAGTGATCCACTGGAGAGGAACAAAACGAGGAACACCTCCCGGACATGGTGGGTGGCCCTCGAGACATTGAAGGAAATGGAAGACTGCTCTAAAAAGGCTCTAAAACTTTCCAACCAATCAAACAAATTTGAACAATTGTGATTACATAATATAATTACGTAATCATGAATAATCATTTTCCTGTTAATTTCTGAGATTTTTTAGTTTTTTGTTCTTTCTGGTTATAAAATTTCGATTTGGGAACATTTTTGATTCTGACATGTCAGTTTTTTAAATTTTAGCCATGTTATACATAGACTATATTTTAAGTTTTTAGTCACTTTTTAGTCAAAAGTGGCCATTTTTCGTATTTCTCAGAAATATTCCTTCGAAGTTTTGAAAAATAAAAGTTTCAGAATATTCTAGCCTCCTTTTTAACAGTTTTCAATCACTAACGCCTCCAATTCTATTTTCGTGTTGTGCCGGAAGGTTATGCTGTTCCAATCCGGCGGAATGGCACATACTCTCCGGACAGTCCCCATCAATGTCTCCATTGATCGCATAACACCGGGTTATCGTCCAGTAGTGTTGCAGTCTTCTGTAATCAAC